GTCGACTACGAGAAAGCGTTCGAAAGGTCGAAACCAACGCCATCCTGTCAGCGCTAGTCGATCAAGAAGTGGGCCCAGCTTGCGTGAGGACACCGACTGCTACAAGAACTGTACAACAACGATGAAGCTATTCCCATCCTATGCCGATTGGAAAGGGGGCTCGAAAAGGCGACACAACTTCGCCGAAGCTGTTCACAGCGGCCTTGCAGTGGATGATAAAATTACTGGAACGGGACGAGAGAGGCATTCGTGTTGATGGGAGATTCTTATCCAATTTTCGTTTTGCCGATGACATCGTTCTCTTCTCGAGCAGTATCACTGAAGCAGAGGCAATGCTGAAGGGACTAAACGAGGAAGAAGACCGGATTGCGAATAAATCGGAAGAGGACTCGGTTCATGAGGAACGCCTCAGAAAGGGAATCGGAACTACGTGTGTCTCGGACGTTCGATGAACTGGAGAACGATTTGAGGGAAGACTTTACAGGAGAGGAAGAGCAGCCTAGGCCGCCTTCGCCGCCTCTGAAGGAAGCCACCGACCAACTTACAAACCCGGAGTTTCGTGCCCACATGTTCGACTCAACCGTTCTCCCAGCGCTCTGTTACGCTGCTGAGACTTGGGCCGACACTGTGGCCACGTCGAAAGCTTGACGGACTATCCACAGAGCGCTCGAGCGCAGTCTTCTGAAGATGAGCCGACGCAAACAACCTCTTGTGGGATTTCGCAGTACGGATATGAGAAGAATGTCCCATCTTTGTGACCCAGCGGATAACGTTGCGAAAGCGAAACATCGATGGGTCAATCACAACATGAGAGGAACAGACGACAGATGGGCAAAAACATCAGAGTGAATTTCTCGCGAGGCAAAAGGTCCGCGAGGAAGAACTCCAATGAGTTGGGCAGACGTGTGTTCGTGGAACCGATGGACCAGCTAAGAAATCGACTGGGTACGATTTTCGCATCTGGAATTCGTGAACGCAGCCACCGACGTCAACCAAGATCGTGGATGTCCAAAGCAAGAGACAGGGATCGATGCAAAATTATGTGCTGAGGCCCGCACGCTGCGTGAAAACGGGCCTTCAAGCATCTAAGCAGTAACTAAGTAATTAAAAATGCTTTGCAGCGTGCTATCAATAACATGGTTGAATGGTGCACATATTGGGACATTTCCTAAAAAAAATAAAAGCTCTGTATTCCATATTGGTGCTACTGCAAGTTATGAACACTATGAGCGTGCGGGAGTTCCTTTGTTTAATAAAATATCTATCAAAGACTTAGATGTTGCATTCGATAGCACTTTGAACAAGACGTGCAATTTTTGAACGTTACTTCTCGTGCATTTTCAATTCTGTGAACCATCTTTCGTAATATTAGAGTAGCCGATTCCAAAGCATTACTGAAACCCTATAAAGCATTTGTTATCCCTACTGTAGAATATGTAAGCTTGGTTTGGAGCCCTTTTTGAGGAAGCATAAGCAGGCTCCTGAAGAACGTCCAGAAGGTTTTTACCCGCTTGCTTTTTTACAGATGTTAACTCAGTCGTGGTTATTCCATAATCGCTTTCAAGCTATGGTGAACGAATGAGAATTGCTAGGTCTTAAAAACCTTTTACATCGTAGGATTCTGCATGATACAATATACTTGCTTTCAGGATTTTTAAAGGCGAGACTAAGCTAAGACCTTCTAAACACTGGGTGTCCAGTCATGGAAGGACCACTGGGTTTTCTGTTTATTTACATCTAATGGTGGGCGTAAACAGTTAAGCCCCTTATCAGAAAACAGTTTTTTCGCACGCACTTCGAAATATCTTCAGTGTTTACCTAAAGAAATGTTGTCTTCTCCTGATAGTTAACTTTGATTGGTTTTCTCCAAGAAGTTGAATTTGACTGATTTTCTTCCAGAGGCTACTTGTCATCACTCTCGTATAGTGCCACCATTGTCTAGCAACCCTCCTACACTTGCTGTTTCGCGTGTTGCTTGGGCCAACTCCAATACTATGAAATTGACTAATTCTGTCACGACGTATTCGAGGCGCACAGCTATAGTTACTTTGGCTTACGCCGCCCTTGGTCATGTTTATGTCCACGGAGCGCGGTAAACTTCTGAAACCTCAGAATTCTTTCTTGCATCTTAAACTTAGTTTATCTTCTCCTTCTTTTAGTGATAGGCTAAACTGTCTATTGTTTATTCCAGATATCTCGTTTTCTTCAAATCAAACCTAATAACACTCTTACGACATCAATATCTGCATCGTAGATGGTGTGAAGGAGTTCATCGATGCAAAGTTATTTTCAATGTCGATGTAGTAAGCATACGCAAACCACGATATACCCTTTCATTCAAACGGTGGCTGGAAGGCGGGGCTTTGAGGCCTGATCAAGGTCAGAGAATGATCAGAGAGCACGCTCGCGAAAGAGCAGCAGACTGTTCGCAGGTCCTTCCACCCGCTAAGTCGTTGAATCAAAGGGTAGGTGGCTCAAATAGTGGACCATCAGCGACGTCAATGAAGTAAGAAGAAGAAAATAGTTTTGAGCAAGTTTTGAGTGTGAGACGAGGTGGTAATGATACTCTCACGCAGCGCTCACTCTTAAACTCGGTTACAAGTTCTTCTTAGCTTTGAACTTACAACTGTATTTTCCATAAAACAAACTAGTGTTCAAGGAAACTCGCTAGAAGCGCCAGATTCACAACTTGAATTATAGCAAAAGCGCAGTGCGATAGTATGGACAATGCGTGGAGCCTGATTCGCTCAACGTTCAAAAAACTGGAAACGGCAACAGCAGTGCACAGCGTCACCAACTGTACTTGCTCTGCAGAAAGAGTATACACAATTTTCTAGCCAAAACGACTATGCTTATGTACCATTCTCAATTTCAAGTCTTGGCAGGCCATTATAAAACAAATACAGCGGCAAGAAAGCGTCGACCCATGAAAGCATGAAATCTCGAAGAGATAAACTTACAAGCAGTTGTGCAGCGCAAATTATGCATGAATAACTATTTACAGCTATTTCGTCGTAATTCGATTGAGAACATCCTCGTCAACCTTTCGATAGCTAGCATTTTCCAGACTTCTGACCATTTTGACGGTCCTGAGTGCAAATATTATAAAAGTCGAGAAATGCCACGAAGGATGACCTGTTATGGCAGTGAGAGAAAGAAGAAGATCAACTAAGGTTGAGATGCAAGAAAAAATACCGCGCTCCGCGGACATAAGCATGACCGAGGGCGACGTGAGCCAAAGTAAATAGCTGTGCGTCTCGAATACGTCCTTTGTCATTCCTACTCATCGCGCAAAAGGTCTTTCAGTGATAGCTTTCTCAAGTACCAAATTTGTGATCGTTGGACCTTTATGTCACTTTTGTTCCGTACTTCGTCCACACGTTGGTTCGTGTCCGGTTCATCCTTTCGTTGTTATTTGGGAATAGCTTGTCTGACTTGACATCTTTTTGCATCACATTTTTTCTCGGAGATCTGCTCTCTTCTTAGAACTCAGTCGGGCAAATTTTTACTGTTACATCTGGTCCCCACATACACAGTTGCTTAAATTGAATAGTCTAAGAGCATTTTTGCTGCAAGCAGGGGCATGAGACAGACCCCACCGGGCATCTGCACCGATTCATACACGTCTAAAAGGCTTTAACCTTTCCTACTCTCAACACGTTGCTGGACTTGAGCTTTTTTGGATGTTTGGCTATTTTCTTATTACTGTTCAAGCTCTAAATATTAGGTTGTTGCAAAAATAATGTCCGGTTTTCTAGACCTATATTCCAAACAACTTTTTTCCCATCAGACTTTCTTTTTCGATATAGCATCTGCATATCATTGGAAAGCTCTCTTCGTGTACTTTCCCATGGCGGTGAAATTAAGCTGCTATCCTCACTTGTGAGAATTTCACTAGCATTTTCCACATCCCCACTCAAAATCAGAATCTCATAGCTTCCACTTTCTTTACCACAATTCAGGAGCAAATAAACGAATTCTTCTGAAAACATAGCAAGTGTATTGAATAAAGATTGTTTATCTACTGCGTGCTTATGTAGATTTTTGGAGAAATGTGGGCTGAGAAATCAACGCATCAAAATAGACACTCGCTGCTGGCATTCTATGGCTCAGAAATTTCTCATAATTAAGGCAATCGCCAAAGCTTCGCCCATTTCTGTAAGCTTGAAATTAGCACACCTTAACTACAATGTTTGAAGAAAAACTAAGCTATTCAGTGCGCGAAGAATTCCAAATTTTCATAATGGAGCACTTACAAGCCTACAACAAATAGGCTCAAAACAGTGAACATTTTTGAATTTTTATCTTTTCTTTTTGCAGAACTCCTTCGTTGGAGTTTTTTCTATACACACCTATACTATTGGCCTGCGGCTACAAAATAAGCTAATTAGCAGACATAGGGACAAAGCTTGAAGGGAGTTGTAAGCTCTTGAAGACGAGGTTTTCAAGAGAAAAACTTTCAGTTTTCTGACGCATGGTTTTCTTCCCGTTTGCGATATCAGTATAGCAGGAGCGCGCTAAGTTAAGAAAGGTTTGATGTTTCTGATGGTCTTGACTGCATTCAAAAATATGGAGACTGAACGAAGTTATAGCTTTTCAAAGTGAAAATTTGCAAAACGGACATTATTTTTGCAACAACCTAATATTTTCGTTCTCTATTCCAAATATGGCACGCCTTGTGCGTATTGAATAAATAAATAAATAAATAAATAAATAAATAAATAAATAAATAAATAAATAAATAAATAAATAAATAAATAAATATTTCGGACTTCATTCATCTGAGCTATCTGGGATAGGTTTGATTTGTTTACCTGCGTAGCGTAATTTTTGCATAGAAACGGATTGTTACATATGATGCCGTGCTTGTTTCTTTATGGTTTGATCTAACAACAACCGCAGCATCATCAAAACAGGAAATGATTAAATCTGGGTAGATGAAGAATGCTATTGAATAAATCGTTTTCCCGACAGTCAGTCAATCAGTCTGAGACTGTTACCTTTACGCAAACGATGAGGCTTCTTTATACGTGGATTTACAATCTTGGATTTTCTACTTGCCCGAATCCATGTTTTTATCATCTTCTTGTAGTACATAATGTCAGTGGCAACCTAAAATCATGAAAGCCATAAACATAATGAAAGAAGAAGGCTGTCTTAATTTTTCAAAGTACTATTATCTGACATTAAAAAATGTTCAAAACTTTGCTTGCCTTTGGAGAAAAACGACGCTTAACATTTCGAGCAACCGTTTTACAACTAGGTCCCCAAATGGCTACTCCCATCAAGTATTCTCTTCCACGAATTGTAGCTGTTACTCCTCCGCCACTGTCACCCTAAAACAAGTGAAAAGACAACTACATTATTAACTATAAATGACGCAAGAATGGAATAAAAGAGCAGACATAAAACGTGCCATGCAACATAGATCTACATACCACCGGATTCACCCAAGTCGCAATCAATGTAAAGTTCGGAGCCAAAAGCTTAAAATTCTCAACTGCTTCAAAAATCAAATCTCCAGATCTTCTTCCAGAAAGTTTACAGACTTCCAACTTGATCTTCACACAGTACGCTTCATATCCGTAGAATACATTTGGTGGATTTTCTTCGCTGCTCAAAAATATACGCCATTCCTGCACACGTCGTAGATAAGAAAAGCCATAAGATGAGAAAATGTGCAGTTGTACAAACTGCATAATACTTGATGTCGATAATTTTCCTTGGATGAAGTTGAAATTTGTCATCAAAAATTAGTCATGAGAATTGTGAAAGCTGAGAAGGTGCCAAAAAGTTATTGCATTGCAAAAGCTTTGCTCATTCTACTGGTCATAGGGTATTTTGAAAACCGTGACAATGGCACCGCCACGCCCAACACGCAAACACCTTTCGACAACCTCTCTTGGTTTTCATCTCTGATCGAATGTGCTCTCTGCTTACATACGATAGTATTTACACACTGGGTGTGAGGTAAGCGTTGAGGTGGTGCCTTCTTGTATGAGCGTTTTATGCTCGTGAATCGCAAGAACCGCAGTCAAATTCGTTGTTAGGTTTTATAAATAAATGCATCCCTTGAGGCTTGGAGGAATAATTTTGAAAATTAGCAAGGTTCAAACAAGATAAGAACGATTTTTTGGGAGCATAGTGCATTATTAAGTGCGTAAAAAATTCCATTGATGAAGTCTAACTGTAAGAAAGAGCACAATTTGGGGTTGAATGGCACGTAGACTGTCACCCTGCTTTCACTATTACGGGTCAGTCCAAAACGGTACAAACTTTTTCATTCTTCTCTTTCTGAGTTAGTGAGCGGCCGCATTTTGTTTGCTCTCCACTTTTGTAAATTTTACGCTTTCTGTCTTTTCGTTTGACATTTTTTGTGACAATTTCTTCTTTATATAATTGGCTTCACACGGTTTTCCAGTCACATGTTGAATTGGCCTGCGTTCGCCAGTTTTCTTACTGATTTGAGTTTTTTGGGCAGTATTGTGATCGTTAATCTGCTTTAGGTAGATCAAAATACCTGTCAAAACGACTCGAGGAAGCAAAGCAAAGGGCCTTCAGGTGGCTCCAACCTTCGACCAGAGGTAATGAAGAGATGAAAGAGACTTGTGGAGTGGAATTGAAGAGTACAGAATTGTGAGCGCTTAGGATCTGATATCTTCAATGCTGGAAAGAAGTCGTGATCCCGCCGCTGACGGATATGCTGAAAGTGCTAGCGAAAAAAATACCGAAGGAGTTGTCAGCCGTCATTGAGGAAGAAAAAGGTCTCGAAAATTTGTAATTAGCGGCGCGGAGGAACCATCTGAAGGCTTGGGAGCAAATAAACGGCGAACTAACTACCTTTAGGAAAAGGTAAACTCGACATCGGATGCGCTGAATATCGACTGTCCACCCAGCGAGCTTATTGGCTGATTAAACCCAGTCCATCTCATCCGAGGCTCATTAAGCTGGTGCTGCCTTCTATCGTCTACAGGAGGCGCACTCTTACCAACTCTCACTCGTTCCGTAACGCTGGATTTCCTGGTCTATGTCCGTCGCAGCATGACCCAGGAAGAGCGCAAGTCGGAGTATGACCTCAGGCAGACAGTACGCGAAGGTAATAGAGAAAAAAGAGCAAGGTTTGGGTTGTCTACCGCGGGCAACTTGTAAAAATGAGTGATCTAACTACTCGGAGAATGGGAAACACGTAAGCTTGCACGGGGCCCAGAAATAAGAGCTTATTTTTTAGTGCCAGAAGTCTACTAAACAAATTTTACCATTTACATGCATTTTATCCTACTACAAACCGGATCTAGTTTTTGTCACTGAGATTTTTGATAGCGAAATAATAGGTGATCTACCGTATCCCATTTTTCGCTTTGAGGTGGCGGAGTATGTTTTTGGCTCATGCAACACTTTTGATTCAGAATATAGAAGTACGAAGTTCAACAAAAGCAAACGTCTTATGTGCTGACTTAATCACACAAAAGATGCTTTCAAAAATACGTACTGTATTAGTTTACCGTCCTCCTCTAACCAGTTACTGATGATGATGATTTGGTTTGTCTACTGGCTGATCTCTCAATTGCAAACTTAAACACAATAATTATTGGCGATTTTAATTTGCAGGTCGACTTGAGCAGTGTGAAACCACTCAATAATACAACTGCAAAATTTGTGAATCTTCTTGCTGATTTAAGCATAGAACAAGTCAAATCCCCAAAGCATGCGTTCAATATTCTTGACTTAGTTCTTTCGTCGTCACCTATCGTATCAAGTGTGGAAATCATGGCACCTCGTCAACTCCGACCACTCCATAATCAGTTTTATCTTGAATGAAACTTCCTGTACTTCTAATCTTCCTCCTTTGCCTGATTCTAAGCGAGTAGATTTCTTTACTTTGAATCATTAATTCCAGAGCGTTGATTGGTTGCGCGTGTCTAGCCAGTAATTTAAGTAATTTTTTTGATTTCGTTTTCAAAAATCAAAAAATTTGTGCACTGCTGTAGCCCACATTGAGATCTACATATAGCCAAATCTTGAGTGCACCATGTTCAGAGAGAATAAAGCATTGTACAGGGTGTCCCAAAAATGCACTCACTGTTTGATTGTAAATACCCCTCTTGTAATGAAGTGTTTTTGGGAAGCTTTAGGTACCATGTAGAGCTGGCTTCAAGTTAGATCTACGGTATGTCAACTGAACTGTCACACGGTACCGCGCTGTTTCCAAGCGGGATAATCAGCGTGCTAAAGTACTGTACTGTGCAAGAGTGAAATACAGGGTGATTACAAGATACAGGTGAATAAATAAAATAAAATAAATAATAATAATAAATAATATCAGGTTGTTTCAAAAGTAATTTCGCTTTTTTCAAACAGGCGCCACATTTGATGAAACATAGGTTTCTAAGAGATCTTGGAAGCATTCGATGCAGCATTTCATTCTCCTTATGAAATTGTTGCGAAATAGTCAACGAGCTTTCAGAAAATAACCAAAATCTGCGACCTATGCTTTTTGAAATAGTCAAGTTTCACAATTTTTTGAAACTTTCATATCAATCCTCACAAGATCAAGTGATGATTCGACAGAGCAAACCTTGTAGAATACAGCACCATTTTTTTCTCTTTTTCATAGCACGCCGTGATTTTTTAAAAGAATTTTTAACGGAACCATCGGATTTTGGCAGGTCCACCTCAGCCACAATCGCATCAAACATCATAATTTTTCGGAATTTGAGACTACCAAGATGGTACTATGAGTTAGCATTAATTTTACAAAGCAAGTGAGGGTTTACGGATTCTAAATATCACATTTCGCGTTTTTCGGGTACAGCCTGGGACTCGCTAAAAAAAATGAGTTATGATGATTTATCCCTGGAAACTAAACAAATCGGAAACAAAAAACACGTGTTAGAAAAAAGAGAAAATGCTGCATCGAATGGTGCGCGAGCTGCTCTTCTTTTAATGTTCTACGAGGATTTAGCTCCCAAGTATAGAAATCGGTAGCATCAGTTGAAATTCTGTTAAAAATGTATGACAAGCTATGGAAAGGAGAAAAAAGTAGCTTTGCATTCGGTAGGTTTCGCTCTATGAAGGCGTCACTTGCACTTTTCGGAGGGTTGATATGGAAGTTTTAAAAAATTGTGGAACTTGACTATCCCGAAAAGCATAGGTCGCAGATTTTGGTTATTTTCGAATGCTCACTGATTGTTTTGCAACAATTTCATAACCTTCAGAAAGAGAATGAAATGCTGCATCGAACGCTTCCAAGACCTTTTAGAAACCTTTGTTTCACCAAATGTGGCGCCCGTTTGAAAAAAACGAAATCACTTTTGAAACGACCTAATATAAATACAGGTGCGAACGAACTTTCGGTCCAATCTAATATACAGGGTGAGGAAAAATTACTGTCCCTCAAAATAATGTTAAAAAAACCAGCGTGATCTACAGGTTTTTCTGGGAATTATGACGTAGTTCCCAAGATGGGAACATATTCCATTATTTTACAAAAACTGGCTTCAAAATTCTACAATTTTACCCGGCTGCGGATCCTTTTTCGCAACGCATCTTATATCAAATCTTGCACTCAGACAATCGCTGGGGGCAGGCGGGCACCGGAGAAATAGATTGTTGATTTCTCGCACCTCGCTCGCGGATTTTTTGGAAAGCAATCAGGATTTTTCGGAAAACCGCTTGCTGAGTTCTCGATTCCTCAGAGATTCAGCAATATATCTGCAAAAGATAAGAGCGACAAAAATTCAACAGGCGGTCTCTCAAAAATCCGCTGACTCAGCGAGCGGTCTTCCGGAAAGTCCTGATTGCTTTCCAAAAAATCCGCGATCGGGGTGCGAGAAATCAGCAATCTATTTTTCCGGTGCCCGCCTGCCCCCAGCGATTGTCTGAGCAACTCCCCTTTACAAATGTGAAGAAGTGTGAGGATTTTTGGGGAATTTTTCTTGTTTGTCACGCGAACTCGAAAAATCTCTACGTCTTACGGAATGTGATAGTGGGTCCCGAAATAATCTGAAAATTCAGTCAGCACTTACACTGGGAGAAACTAAATTTTTTTAACGAAAAAGTGGCTGCGGAGCAACAGAGTGCGATCAGAAAATGTGGCACAGAGACTAGGTAATCGTGATGTAGGAAAGTCCGATGCTCTTTTCATTATTCCTGTTACTTTTGTTGAAATCTGGCATTTCGAATCATAGTTTGAACCCAAGTCATTAAGCAAGCGCAGTGCTTACTCGCCTCTTGTCTAGAATTTTTGTGATTTGCCTGTGACATAATCTTCCTTATTTGGCCAAAGTAAGAGTCACCAATCTATAATTCATCTATAATGGGTATAGAATACTGGAGA